AAAAGTGATGATCCCCGGAAGATATGAAAACAATAATATAAATTAAAAAGTGCAGACTCGGCTTGATTAATTCTTAAAGTTTTCTTACTCATTCTTTAACTTTCTTATTTCTTCATGGATTTACTTCAAATTAAAACAAAAGACCTACTTCATATGTGATTAGATTTATGAAATGGGTTTCCATGATTATTTTCATTTCAACTTTGAAATTCTTTTTTGAATTTCTTTGTTACTATGACTGGTATATTTGAAAATTTTGCTTTTACTAATGTTATATTCTGATAACAACCAGGGATGTTTAAGGATTTACGCTCAAAGTCTCTGTCAGTTGGTCTATCTGTCTATTTCTAAAAACTGTTTCCTGGGACCACTTTTAGAAACATTGAAACTTTTCCAACAAATTTACTTAAAATAGAGAAAATTTGAAACATCGGTTATACATAATTATTGTAACGACCAGCCCCATCATTTTATGTCCGAAAATAAACCCGTATCCGGAAACTACTCAAGTACTGAAGTAATTAACTCTACTTCATGACATCGACTTTTAATCATCAATACATACACAATAATTATAGATAACTTCATTCTTGTGATACTTGCGACGATTACATCACTTGAAAAATTTATTTTCGACGCTGTAGCCGTTTGATTGATCAATTAGCAACACGCTGCCAATTTAAACATGGCGGTTGGCACTGGTTAAATTTCTGCCCGTGCGAGCTAGGCTGTGACGTCATCGGAGCGACGATACTGCCAAGCTAGTCACCCTACGCCAAGTTAGCAACCTAGCGTCCGATACAATAAATAGCAGGCCGAACCTGCCAGAATAATCAGTCCTTGGTAAATAGCCACCAAAGCACACCTTAGCTACTTTCTGTACCTTATTGAATATTGATGTATCTCCAGTTACCAGAAAGGTATATGATACTTTATGCCAGTTAAAGTTCATATAGAGGCTTTATACTAAATCATCTTGTTTGGAAGCTCCGCATTAATTTCCATTTATAATAGATCCTGTCTGAAGACAAAGTTTCCACAGCCATAATCCTATATTTTATAGTGATACCCATATACCAGGGTAGAACACCATGATTGTATTTTGTAGTTACCATTTTAGATACCCATCAACCTTATAGCATTTCATTGTAATTCCTACCATTAAATTTGTACCAGACCACAGGCAAGACGTGACACCGGTGAAGCCTTTCATTTCATCTTATATTCTAGACGTAACAGAAGAATATTCCTGAGCTAAGACGAGGAGCCAGAACCAAAGCCATCCATAGAACAAACCATATACGAATTTCATTGTTTGTGTAATGTATATTTAATCAACTGTTCAGTTAATCTTATTTCAGGTGTTCGTATCTTTTAGTCCATATGTCCCTATGTTCCCATAACCTATTACGTGAGTTTGAGAAGAACTCACGTGTCGATGGGCTAGCAGACCCTGGGTACGTTTCAATATTCATCCTGAGAAAATTGGATCATAATTGCTTGTTTTTCTTTGTTTTAAATTTATGATATCTAGTAAGCTTTTAAGAACCTAGAAAAGTTGCCGTCATTTAATCAAAGGTACTTCTACTCTAGTTTAAATTTGCATATTGAAATGAATGAGTACACTACATTAATACATTTTGGTTTTACAATTGAACGAACTATGTCCCGACGGTGGAGAAAACAGTTTAAAAATAACTATTGTCTATTCTTCCTAAAATTCTAAACGTTTGAGATGACTTGCAATAATGACAGAAGAAAACTAATTAAAATGCGTTAAAAAGATAAAATGTTTTCATCAGCATTTAATTTAGTTGTTTTTGTATATTAGGATCACATGGTACAAAAAAAGGAAACGTATTTGACATAGCCGGGATCTTAATTTTCAAACGTGAAGTTACTGTTTTAAAATTAATGTTAAAAGTTCCTATTTTCATATTAAATATTCTCCACATAAAGCATTCATTTTGATTTTCTCCTTATAAAACTTATTAAATGCATCTGAAATATTTTCTTTACTTTTGGTTAGATTTTATCACATCTGTAGATAGATTGCAGAATGTTTATGGTCATTGCAGCCGGCAAAATCCTGCTAGTACATTACTGGTACATAAAACGTTCTAAATATATACGGAGTGTTTTTAATAAATTTAACAATAACCAGCACGTTCATATGTACATGTTATGTTTTTGGAAAGTCAAGATGTTATCTGAATTTTTTACACTATCCCCGGGAAATATTTACACTGTTTTGTGCTAACCATTTGCAAAATATTTATTAAAAAAATTTCATATAAATTATTAATTATTTTCTGTAATTAATGTATGTAAAACTTGAAGTGCATGTTGTTCAATATTTATCTTCTTATCCCCGCTATAATCAACGTCATTGACGTGTACTCATTACATGTACACCATAATCGTAGCGGACCGGTTAAGCAGAGCCATACTGATGTTCGTCACATTGCTGATGTTCTTCAGTTTCCTAATCCCTTTGTCCAAAAACTGTGGTCTAGTTGGATATATTTTTGGGTTGAACAATTCTTTTTCTCTTAATTATTTTGGTAAGAATTTCTTCATTTCTAATTATAGGTACTTAATATACATGTCTATTTAAACTTATCTCAGATAAAAATGCTATTTACATTTGGTTGAATGTATAATTTATGCAAATATAACTCAAAGCACGCTTAAAGGACTTGCTAAAGTAAATAAGCAGCTAACGATAACTGAGAAATATAATTTTTTAGTCTAAATGTTTCAAAAATCGTAAAATATGAATTTAAAAATAGTGTTTTAAATCGGTTTTATTTGTATCCCCTTTCGTAAATCCAACACTTGTGTTTTAAGCTTTGTTTGAAGTTATGGTCTATTTCATTTTGCAGAAAAATCTGTAGCTACACTATGTAAATTTGAGCAATATTCATTTCAACCTTCGAGGAAACAATGCACGGCATTTAATTTAAATTATCCGTTAATACGTGTCTTCTTCTAATAAGTGATATAAATTGTAATTCATCTACATTTGCTATCCAAATATTTATGTTTTCATAGATAAAGTACACAAAGATTTACCTATTTTTTAAGCAAACCATATTGAGAAAATACATATACTATCATTTTGTCTTGAAACAAGATTATTCTGCGTTTCCTTTATATGCGTTAAACAGCATGAAAATAACAGAACCTTATTACTCATGATGAAAAGTAAGTAAACACTTTCTATTCATTTCCTATAAATTTCTATTATACAGATTATTCATAAACGTGGTGTTTCTATTAATTGCGCTCAAAGTTGCCTCTTTCTGATTTATTTTTGTAGTTGGCATCAAATGCAGTTAACTGTAATAAGATAGAAGATTTCACATCAAACGATATTGTTTATTGCAAATGTGTTGTCAGAGCCAAACTCAGTCAAGTTGCTATGAGCTTTGTGTCACACATGGGTTCTTTCTTCGTTGCGGATTATACGTGTCTGTCACTTTCTAAAACGATTGTTTAATTCTTTAAATAGATAAGAGGAAAAACTAGCAAGTAATATTATACTTTTTTCTATTTCTAAATTGTTGCTTACTGTTTAGGTTTCGTGAAATAGGTAAATCTACATTAATGTTTGTTTGTTCAATAATTTACTTTGTAAAATACTTTGATAACATTGTAATAACTACGCCAAAATAATTAGATGAAATATTTCTGTCAGATAAAGGATCAAAATTTGATTGCATAGACAAAAGTGTCCATTAATAACATAACATAACATAACATATATTTTATTAGTCTTAAGCACATTAACAGCTCATCGACATTTACATACAATATGACACGTATTTGTAGCATGCGTAATAATTATAATCATATTTACAGAAATAGAAAAACACAACGGCTACCGCGAGAATTCCTATATTTTTTACAAAAACAGAAAGCTTGGTTAATACGTCATCTATTATGACACTATTATGTTGAAAAGTACACATTCACTGTTCGAACACTAATTGGTCTCTCTAAAAAATGATTGTCTGATTCTAAAAGCCTTACGAATATATAATGCTAGTTTGATAAGTACATTTTTATTGGTCGAATTTAAAAGTTCAATGAACTTGTTAACACTTGCATGATTACAATAATAGTCACTTATATACTTCTTTCTGATGTCTCTATATAATTTACATGTTAAAACGGAGTGGTATTCGTCTTCAATGTCATTCATGTCACATAGCATAAACTTTTGCTGATCCCTCGGCACTGCATTTTCAAAGTGTCTTGCCTTTTCTATCATTAAATCATGCGATCCCATACGTATCTTTGCAATTGCTCGTCTGTATTTCAAGTTACTCAATATTATGAGATATGAGGGAATTTCAAAAGTTTGTTTGATTTCCTTGTATAAATATAACGAAGGACACGTGTTAATATCTATATACCATTCTGCTATGTAAAAGTCTCTTAGTCTCTGTTTCATACCAGGCGTGAATCTTTCTATACAAACAGATGCTGGGAAAATCCATATTTCACCAAAACCAATTGCATTTAATAACTTTTAATAACCAATTGTCAATAGCATTTTCAGTCAAATTTAACAATCTATCAAGCAAAGTATTTAAAATACAATTACTTTTTCTACTGCTCAGTTTTATAAAATATTTAACTGCTTTTACTTTTCGATCGATTATTAAAGGGAAACGGCCAGACTTATCATAAACCCGCACATTACTAGTAGACATTTTTACACCTAGTGTCCATTTAATAAATTTTCTATGCACCCGTTCTATGCACTCCGCACTTGACAGGCCCCATATTTCACCAGAATATGTCAGAATTGAGCTCACAAAAGAGTCAAATAAATTAAACATGATGTTTGTTGGTACTTGCATATTTTTTACCAATGAGAATAACGACCCGACCGCTTTGAGTCCTTTTGCCGCTAGCGTCATTGTTTATGCTCGAGGTATACAAAATATTACTTCCAAAATGTCTTGTTCGGTGTGTATGTGATCAGACGGGTTCATGGTCCGAACTGTATTTAGACACAAAGAACAAATTACTTGTTACATATATGTATATAACATATAGCCATATAGTTGAATTGAAAATAGCTTTATAATAGAATTTTAATACATGCCTTAGTCTTCATATATATAAGAAACTCTATTCAATTCATACTTCAGGTTCATTTTATTAGGTATGTTTTAATAAGAAATATTTGTAATCATTCCATCATGAAGGGTTTGCATTGATTTTCAATTAAAGTATGTTTGTTTGTCTGGTTTTGAAGCCGTGTTTGAATGAAATATCGGCAATACATGAACACTTATATTCCTTACTGACCTTACTAAATAAATTGTAATCTGTTCTTGTTGCATTTATCAATGATACATGTTTTATGATATTTAGATAATAATTTAAGTAGATATCAGTGTAAGCAAATGGTCGTGTTATAAGGGATTTTCTTAGATATGTGCGAGAGATTGGGAAAACTAGTCATTATTAAAAGTTTATTATCCTTGAAATACATCACATTTAAATGTTTTTTTTATATTTCAATGTAAATTTTAATGACAACAATAACAATATATAACAAAAGGAAAAAAGTATGTAACTTGAATTGCTTGATTATTAATTTGGACATATCTATTTTTCTCTAATTCTTTCGGGTTTTGGTGTAACACATGATACTAATCTTTCACACAAAAGCATTAAAATGTTGAATATTGTTTGAACGTATGACATATATCATTCTGAAACAGGAAATAATCACATAATCGTTAAATAGACTGTTGTCTTTCTTGTTAGAATGATAAAGTGAAATCGTCGTTTGCAATGAAGATATTGACATGTGAACATGTCAGACTTAGTTCATTTGAACGGAATCAAGTATTTGATAGCAGTAACATCTTCTGATCAACACATTTAAGATCAGAAAATGAAAACAAAAAACATTGAGAAAAAGCAACAGATAAAATTATCACAGCGGCTACATCAACTATATATTAATATTACAACAAACTAGAGTTTGACACCCAGTTCTAATGAACAAGAAATTTCTGTAATACTTGGTTTGCACAGTAAATTTGTCTTATAACTTATTTCTAGTAGTTGATGTAGAGTCATAGTAGTTGTCATCTTGAGATACATGATTGTAAACGTCATCAGGCAATGCTGTGTTATTCACTTGAATTGTTGAGTCGTAATCAGATTCAACGAGACTGTGGTCTCCTGTTGTGTTGTACAAATTGTTACAATCTCCTTCTCCCCTGACAAAAGATGTCAAATTGTACTCGTCCACGCTTTCAAAATGGTTGTACAGATTGTCCGACTGATTAGAACTACCATTTTGAAACCTACCAGCAACATCGTATTCATCATTTGTTGCGTTTTGATACGATTTATTTGAATAATTATCTTTTCTGGATCTTGTGTCACCCTTTTTAGGTTTTTTGGCAACAGCATACTGTGCGCTTATGTCAGTTAGATTATTTTCATTCGTGTGGTGTTCAGATGATGTTGGAGTTTCTTCAATACTTTTAGAGTAAACGTTGAGCTGACCATGAACTGGCGAAGCTTCTTGAATGGGAAAGTTATTCATACGTCCATTTTCATGTTTTGGATTACTTGACTGCCAACATTTTATCCTAGAAACGAAATTAAAAATATATGTATTTTAGGTTTTATCTAGTATATTTTTAAGAAAATAAATGTATTGATAATGGCATTGGTTAACTACGAAAACAACTGTAAACGGTTTATGTTAAAACTATTCCAAAAATTCATGTAAATGTTAAATTTAAGCCATGTTCACCATGACTTTTAATGAATAAAAACATATCTTACCTTCTCCTGTAAATGTAAATGATAATTAAAAGTCCACATGTCAAAGGTAATATTATTCCAAGTGGTATACCAACTTTTATCCCTATATCTGAAATACGTCATTGAGAAAAATACATACACATGAATTAAAGTTATGCAACATATATATAGTTTTCTTTAATGGTAATATGTAAGAAATGTCTATAAAACCCTTCTAATGTAAAGCCATATTGTTTTATTAAATCAAATGTAAATGTTCAATGAACAATGAAGTGACAAGACAGCAATACTATATCATTTATATGGTGTACAGTCCACGTATCACAATAATAACTTAAACATGTCTTTCATTGACTGTTCAATGTTCTGCAGCATTTCCAATTTTGGCATTTTTTACCGAATAATCACTACCGAAAATATGCCTAAGGAAAATATCATCGGCATGCCAAGAAATTATTCCAACGTCAAAGCTTTTGTCCTAATTTGTCAATGAAAATAAGATGCTGACAGGTTTTGATATGTTTGCGATTCAGACAACAGATACTAAGATATTTTACTATGTGATTGACACTTATGTCAAAACATGCAAAATAATTCATTTTAAGAAAACAAAATAGATTAAAAGATCTTATAAATTAACAGAACGATACTTTCATTGAAAGTCATGCGAACGTATAGATCAGACAAATGAGTTTATTAAAAGCATACAACCTGAACTTTGCTCTTCCTCATGCGGATGTGTCTTTTTCACATTTGTTTTATATTTTATTGAAGTTAGAACTCTCATTGTATGTTTGGTTGATTTATGAGATGTATTTGCAGTTGTTTGTTGGCGACTTGTCATCGACATTGTTAGTTTTGTGACATATGTAGTGTGTACCGTTCTGGTGTCATTTGTAATGTGTTCCGTTCTGGTGACAATTGTAGTAGGTTCAGTAACTTTAGTCGTGAGGCCTTACAAATTAACTCAAAATTGTTAAAAGCAACAACGTTTAAACGCAAAAATGTTTTAGCTAGTTCTGAGTGCATTGTAACATACTATTTGAATATATAATAATATGACTATAATAGTAATAAAGCTGTTCTATGATGATATCCCTTTTGAATAAGAATTATTAACTTCTGTTGAAAACATATAGCGTATTAATCATCATTTGAGTCAATTTTAGTTTTACATATCTGACGTCAATTGACGAGTCATTTTTTAACTCGTTACATGTATATACATGTATTAAAGCACTCGGAAGCTTAGTCGTTGTTTAATAAAGAATAACTGAGAACAATGTTGAAGTCCATTTTAAACGATTATCAATTTGTTCAAACCATACACAAATGTACATCTTTAATACACGTGGGAGTATTCTTCTGTGATTGTCATGAAATGATTTCTATATCTGTTGTATACTGAACTGTCACGGATTTAATTCTTAATGTTTTGAGAGTATCATTGACCAAATATATATTTGGGAATATATTTTTAACTCTCATTTTTGTTTATTGTTTTGTGTTATGTGTAAGATACTATACGGTTACTTCGTCACATATACTTGTTCGCTACTATGCTATTTTCAGTAATATACGAGTATATAATGCTTATCTATTTATAATCTATTAATTCTCTTTATTAATGTATAGCTTTGAAATAAATACATAATTAGCAAACTAATATTGCAAAGAATTAATATTAGGTCATTAGTTTTACGCGGTTGTCAATGCGTGTTCCAAAATAATGCATTTAGTGAAAGCTGATGACTTATAAAATTATCAGATGAAGATAAAGATATTTTTATTAAAACCCAAACCACTAAATGAAGTATGTCAGAAACACGTTTCACACTTAGCATCAAAACAAAAGCTATTAATTGGCCCTTTCCCATTGCTTGAACCTGTGCGGATAACAACTCGGTGTGAATTAATTGATTTTGTCATTCTTTCACTCATTGTTATGTCAAATTATAATTTTTAACATGATTGGAAAATCCAAATTTGAAGCTTTTCATCGCTTCAAATGCTTTAGACTATTGCTTCAAGTAAACTTGCAACAACGTATAATACAGAACAACATTATAGTTTTTTAACAAATTTCGTATCCTCATCATTAGTTGAAAGCATCTACTAGTATATAACAAAATAAATGAAAACAATGATCACCAAAAAAAGGGACATTCAATGAGGGTACCAATTAAATAAAAACACAAAACAACAACAACAAAACACTTGGCAGCCTGCATGGAACCAGGGTCTTTCAAATTGTACCAGTTCATATTAAATGTTGAATTCGTCTAAAGCCGGTGCTAGGGGCGTGGACGGTAGTTTGCACTTGACAGTACCGTCCATGAACAGGCTCAATCAAACCGAGCCTGCAACATTTCAATTTTGCCGTGTTTAGCTTTCTTTCGGGATTCTTATCTTCTCTATTTCGAATAGAATTTGAAAGACCCTGGTGGAGCCAAGCATGTCGTGTACACTGGTATTCTAATTTCAGACAAAACTGTAATACTTTAAGGTAATGAAGATATAACATAGCGTAATAATTTTCAAACCTGAATTATGCTTACATAACGAGAAACGTGTTTCCGTACAATTTGCAAAATACCTTCCAATCGAACTTTTATAGCCTCCGCATAATTTGTCTTGAACTGGAAAAATAATTTATCTGGACTTATCTTGTAAACAGATGCTAATTAGAGAAAATCGAAAACATTGTGAAAATTAAAAAAAATTGTTTCTCATTGTGGGAACGCAATATATAGTCTAATAGTGACATTATGCTCATATTTTTATAGTCAAGTTGAGCTGAATTGACTTTATATTTCAAAAGATTGACTGACAAAATGCTGTTTGACCAGCAGTTGATATTGGAAAATGTTTTGAATAAAATTATAAATCTGTCTAAAATCTAAAAAGACTGCCCCACTCTTTTTATAAGCGTTACATGTAAATTATAATGGATATTTGCAGAAATTTCGTTGGGATCTCTGCGTTATTTATTGTTTATGCGAACTTTATTATTAAATAAAAAGGAATTATTGCAAAAAGAAAACTTATTTTGATATTCACCCATTCACTCATTATATACCCCTGGATGGGCATAATGTCACTTTAACAAATCTTAGTCATATATTCAGTTATCGAATCATTATTTATTGTGATTTTGGTGACAGATGATTTTATACTCAGAGATAGTTTGTCAGCCTTAATAATTTATTCTTTATTTTGCGACTTTGTGATTCAGCCATTATCAACAAATATGATCTTAAAGGAACACAAAGATTTTGTTATGCTATGAACCTTCTAAATATAAAACCTAAGATAAAGAATGTGTGTAGAACAAACATGTTATTTTAAAATGGTACGTACTGTTTATGTTGTCCACCATTGTATTAGCCCTAATAGCTGCAAAAGTACAAATAGACTGCATGATAATAATTTTATATGCTATGTTTTATAAATTATTTCGATAAAGAAGCCATCTAGTTATTGTTATGCTGTCAACTGTCACCTTTATATACCGGGGGAGGTATAATTAAATTATATAAGTTAAACATAGCTTTGCTGTTTTAAAGTTATATTGTTCATATCTCCAATAGTATGGAAAATGTGTCCGCACATTTATGCTGCATTTACAATTAGTACAGCATGTTTTGCAGCTATTGACATTTTCCTGAACTTGACTTTTTACTTTTAATAGTGATGTGCACTGATAATTCATCTTTCTCACACACATATTTCCATATTTTAAATGAACGCCGTGTTAGTTTTTTCTGTCATTTACAAAAATTCTTAAACATTAAAATTTCAGAATGTTCCAAACAATGTTCCCTGTTTCGCTTTATTTTTTTTTAATTTTAAATAATAAGAATATCAGCATGCTAACAAGTTTTACCTTCTCCACGCAATGTCCAATTATTCCAATAGTATCCTGGTTTAAATATTGATTTCATGCTGCGTAAGTCAGTTAATAAAACGGTATAGTTACAGTGAACATTTTCTCGAGTACTGTTGTAGACAAATAACATCCCTGTCAAGCATAACAAGGAAATACATGCGAAATAATATACTACGCAAATATTTTGAAGAAAAAAATCTAATTATGATTACAAGAAATCATTGTATCCAAAATAAAACTTGTAATACATTGACTTATATTTTCTTTGTTAAAGCTGCATGCCTCCAGATTAGCAGAACTATTTCAAGGAAATCAAACTTGTATTGAGGTTTGATGAAAAGTAAAAAGACTGAAGAGAAAAGTTATAATTGCCATACTATTTGCGATAAATGACCGATTTTTCAATAAATTTCAACATATTTCTACAGCGTTACTAACACAGTAAGGCATAATTTTGCCTATTTTGATCCATTTTTTGGTAATTTACATGGGTTGTCAGTGCAGTTTGCAATGTGAATATTATTTTCTTTGCCAGCTTCACAATATTTCACTTTTTAAAACATATTCAAAATTTTCATGAAAATTAGCAGGAATCTCGAGGCGTGCTGCTTTAAAAGTTACCCATTAGTTTTCACATTTTTTTACCAAGTATTGCCGAAAAATGACCGCAAAGTGATGCAATCTATTAAATTATACCAAATATAACTTGTACCGTTTACAGTTTTGCAAAAATAGTTTCTGTTATCGAAACAATCTCCATAAAGCACTTCTATGATTTTGTATAATGTGCTATTGAGGTAGTTAAATCCACAATATCTGTCTCTTCCTGAAAATAAAAATAACATAAAATTATTTAAGAGGATAAAAATCAATGTCTTGTCTTGAATGTTTATTTTTAATTAAGATGATAAGCATAAGTTTTGACACCCACAGAATTATAATGGTACAGTCATTATCATACAATAAAACGTAACTATGCTATATTTCGAGGCTATTATTGTATAATTTAGTGTTAAAGCAGCAGTTCTGAAATCTATTTGACGAGTACACATCTGCTGTTTAACTTATATTGTACGGGGCGCTAGTCGATTCTAATATAGGTTTAACATGTATGTAATAGTTCAATAGAATTAATATTGTATTTAGTTGTGTAAAATGACCTGTTTATTTTACAACATTTTGTTCTTTCTAGCATTGTACGTGTTTGATGTGGATTTTTGACAATAAAATGACGGTACAATAGTGATTTGATATGAATAAATTGTACTCGGAGAAATGAAAAAGCGGCTAAACTTATCTCGTTAGGAAAAATTTGCTATCGAAGTGCATCATATATAAAAAGATAACCAGGCTAAGAACTAATTATTGAATTCACAGAATGAATATAGACACATTAATGTTAAATGACGAGATCGAAAAAAATGCAAAAAATTCAATATTATCACAGGATTATAACTAAAACTAAGGAAAATGATATTTTCTGACTAGCATTTTAGGGTAAAAACAATTTAAGAACAGTAAAATGCAATCAAAATATTCACATGATACCGAAAACTTAAAATTGATAAAACTTGACTTAAAAAGTGATCTTAAACATTAATCTTTATTAGGCTGTGAAACACCGGTATTTTGAAGAGGGTAACTCATTAATAGTTTTCAACCATGATAAGCAAAGAATTTTTGCCAAAGCATTTGACCTTTGAGACTGCGAAAGATTTCCTTTTTCACGAAACCTGGATTTGTGACTGTGAAAATCCTTTTTGGGAAGGAAATGCTTCCTAATATACTTGACCCAAATCATTTGATCGACTCGATTGGACACACACAACCAAATGTAAAGATTTAAATTGTTCATGGCCAAGATCTTTGGTCCAATTTCAGGACAAACCTATCAACCTATCAGCTAAATTTGAGTTACCTGTTAGTTATCACATTTTATTTAAACTATGATACCAAAAGGAACAGAGATTGTCAAAATGAATTTGAATAAGCAACATAACAAACAGATGTGTTAGTATGTTAAGTAAAATATTAATGTTTCCAATATAGTAATTTTAACCTAAATTATCGAAACAAAATAAAATTAAGAGTCAATTTTAAAAGTAGTATAATACAGCTGTTACAAAAATGACTATGTTCAAAAGTGTTAACCTTAATTATTGTTGAACCGGAACCATAGAAGAAATGACAGAGATTATTCACTGATTGACTTATTGAATTGCAAAATCACTATCAAAAATGATTTTTGACGAAAAAGTATAACATACAATAACAATATCATATTGTTACTGGGACACTTACCGTTCAGTGTTAAATGATCGGCTGTCCATATGTCTGCATCACTCTGTAAATGGAGTTTGTCTATATCTTGCCCTAAACCAGTCTCAAATGGAGGCATATAACCCCCTTTACTTTTACAATTTTCCACTGCCTCTTGCCAAGTCAAAAGTTCGGTGTTGCAGAAAATAACAGAGGGTGCATCATCTTGGTTATTTTTTAGTTTGCAAAATGAAAACATATATTTCAGAATGTTACAGATAAACGATTTTATTTGACATAACAGACAAATAAAGGGCTAACCAGGGTGTTGAATGTAAAAAAGTTAGATTTAAATGCAGTATATCGTATTTTCATTAAATTATATATTTTTGTTTAAAATATGCATTTAAAAAAGTAAATTGAATGTAAAATATCCATCAAAATCGTATATAATTAACATTTTGTCTTAAGAATTTAAATGCACAAGCTTTAATAGGTCTTATGTCTTATTATAACTTAAGTTAATCAAATAAGTTGTATTATAGACTCCCCTGTCTCTCAACCGTGCAATTGTACGTCACGACGCGTACACAAAATATCAAAATATTTAATAGTACAAATTTGTCATCATCCATTAGGCAACATCCATATAGATGAAGTATAAATGAACAATTTAAGGCGAATAAACTTGTTTAGTATTAAATAAATTGTAATTACCTTCTGTAAAGGAAACCAAAGCTTTCATCAAAACGATAAATACCAAGAAAACAGAATCCTTCATGATTATCCAATATTAATAACGGAAAATAAAACATTAGACTCGTATTATATCAAAAGAGGAAGTTTTAACACTTTGAACGATAACAGTTATCTCAATCGTGAGTTTTTTAACCTGCTATCAGTCTGCAGTATAATTTATTTAACAGTATTTTCAGTTTGATTTTACGAGTTTACATTTAGAGCCCTTCAAGTCACCAATCTTTATTTCGATAAAATGTGCTCAATAACAGGATATAATCAAAGTTATGTGATTAATTTTGTCCGGCGAATAAATAACGATATGTTATATGCTTGATAAAGAACCATGCACAAAGTTTTTTTATGAAGTTCAACAAAAATACTATAATATTGTTAAAAGGTTTGCAGCATTGATGTTGTTGCTTGTTGTTGTTGTTTTAATCTGATATTATTAAAAAAATGACAGAATATTTTAATATCATATAATCTCTGAAATTAACGTACACGTTTTAATTAGGGACCCGATCAGGTTATACACCGAGATTCAAATTTTAATTATGTTGAACGCAAAATTTTACTAATGAAATTTAAATTTGTACCAATAAATTGCCTAGCAAGGCATAAGTCAAAACATGAAATGCCATCATTTCAAATTTATTAAGAATTCTTTAACCCAAATGATGTTAAAACACATAAACATGTTTAAGGCTAACTTATTAAAACATTTGGTTTTATCAGTGAAGTAAAAATCATATCACTACGCACAATTTCACTCGTAAGTCAGTCAGTCGATAAAATATTGTTTTCAGTCAATAGGTATAGTATTAAAAGACATTTGTTTGGGTTTTAATGTTTCGTAAATATGAAATAAATTGCATTGAGATTTTTTTTAAATATTTTCTTTCACTCGTTCTACGCGATCATGGAAGTATTAATTTGCTAATTTCTCACTTCTCAGTGAGATATGCATCATATTCGTTCAAAACAAATATCCTCTATTAATGACATTTATTGTACTTTTCACTGAGCGCTTGTGAAATCAACATTCTCCATTACGTTAAATATAATCTTGGTCACATTATCAATCATATATATCTAAATTTATAATGATTAATATGTTTATTTGCAAATGATACCAAAAACGGAAGAACTTAAAGATTTGAAAGATAAAGTATTACTGTCATGCACAAATATCTGAATTTTCACACAAATATGCGGTTGATAAATACAAATATTCATTTAGATAATCAAAGTATGGCTAAAATTGCCATCTATTTTACGGAACAAATGTTTAAGTAAACTCATTTAGTAATTTTGTTCTTGAAATTATATCGATCGTTATACAATTTCAATGAATATAATGTTAAAAACTGTTATTGAAAGAGCAACTTACTGAAACACTTGACATAAAAAGATACTTTTTTCTTTCTGTTATAACTTTTCATGCGTCGCTTTGTTTTTAAGAATATTAGAAAAGTGTACATGGTTACGTCAAAGTTATATCACATCATTTGTACAAACCATCATCCTGTTTTATTTATCATTTAAAACATTTTGAAATTCTAAATCTCATGCGCTTGTATGAACCTAATCAAGATAAACATAGATAAAGCATGTTTTTTTAAACAGCTTATTACAACTATACATTATACTGATAAAGTGAAATAAATGAGTAAAATACCTCAATACCTAGCGGCTTCAATATTTATGCACTTCATCTTGGGATGCACAAATACGTTGGTGATAACAATCTGGTAAAAATACAATGGTTAACTACAGTCTTGCCTCCCCTTTTACGAACGAAGAGCACAATTCTCACAAGCTCTTAGAGAACATAAAGCCATTACCAAACAAAACTGATTCAAAGTATTTAAAGGCATATGAAGCCTCAGAAAAATATATAAATTTGTTTATGTAGAAAGGGTACACATGTATTGTAAAACTGAATTAAGAACATTTTATATGAGTATTACTTTAAGTAAATAACAAATAATGTGTGATAAGTATTGACAAAGTCATCAAAATGTAAACATCGTGGTATTAGGGCTTCCGTACAAATTCTAAATCAATCTTATACTGTAACTGTTTCAACTACCGAAAAGCAAAGTATGACTCATGTACTTGGGCTATGAGA